AGGGGGGGGGGGGTGTTGAAGGGTGTGCAGGGAATGAATGGGCTGGGGATGGCTGGGTGGGGCCAAACGGGGTGTGGCTAAATGAGGTGGGGTGCCAAGGGGGTGGGGCTTCGTGGGGTGGGGTCCCAAGAGGTTGGGCATCAATGGGTGTGCAGGGAATGAATGGGCTGGGGATGGCTGGGGCTAAGTAGGGTGGGGCTTAATGGGGTGCAGGTCCAATGGGGTGGGGTTCCAAGGGGCTGGGTGTCTGGGTGTGCAGGGAATGAATGGGCTGGGGGTGAGTGGGCGTGGCTTAATGGGGCGTGGCTTAATGGGGTGGGGCTTCACGGGGCGGGGCTTGGGCAGTGAGGTCCCAAGGGGTTGGGCATCAACGGGCGCGCAGGGAACGGACTGGGGATGACCGGGCTTAATGGGGCAGGGAGCGAATGGGTGGGGCCAAAGGGGCGGAGTCCCGGCCGTGCCTCCGGTTCCACTGGCGCCGGGAGGCGCGGGGGGCTGTCGGACCCGGGGCAGGTGGCCGGCCTGCAGGAGAAGTCGCAGTGCGCGCTGGAGGAGCACGTGCGGCGGCAGCACCCCAGCCAGCCCAGCCGCTTCGGGCGCCTGCTCCTGCGCCTGCCCGCCCTCCGCAGCGTCTCCGCCCCCGGCATCCAGCAGCTCTTCTTCAGCCGCCTGGTCGGCAAGACCCCCATCGAGACCCTCATCCGCGACATGCTGCTGGCCGGCGCCACCCTCAACTGGCCCTACGGCCCCATGCAGTGACAGCCCCACCCCGGGACGGGGACCCCGAGGAGGGGACCCCAAAGACAAGGCAACACCAAGGCTGGGGACCCCAAGGATGGGATCCCAAAGATGAGGACATCGAGGCTGGAAACTCCAAGGTTGGGACCCCAAGGATGGGACCTCAACGATGGGACCCCAAGGATGGGACCCCCCCCCCCCCCAAGGAAAGGTTGGGGACACCCAAGGAGAGAGACCCCAAGGTTGGGACCCCAACGATGGGACCCCAAAGATGGAACCCCATGGTTGGAGACGCCCCCCCCCCCAAGGATGGGACCCCAAGGATGGGGACCCCAGGAATGAGGGATCCCAAAGATGGGACCCTAAAGTTGGAGACTCCAACGATGGGACCCCAAAGAGGGGACCCCAAAGATGGAACCCCATGGTTGGAGACCCCAAGGATGGGACCCCAAGGAGGGGACCCCAAGGCTGGGGAACCCACGGATGGGACCTCAAGGAGGGGGACCCCCAGGCATGAGGGATCCCAGCAATGGGATCCCAAAGATGGAGACCCCAATAATGGGCCCCCCCAACAATGGGACCCCAAGGATGGGGACTCCAAGGCTGGAGACCCCAAAAATGGGGGGCCCCATGGCTGGAGACCCCCAAGGAGGGGACCCCAAGGATGGGGATCCCAAGAATGGACCCCAACGATGGAACGCCCAACGACGGGACCCCAAGGAGGGGACCCCCAAGGATGGGGCCCCCCAGGGACGGGGCCCCGGGGCCAGGGATGCTGTGGGGGGATTCCCCCCCATTTAAGGGAGAGAAGCCGGTTGGGGGGGGCTATAATTAATTTATCTCGTTAAAAAATAGCGTTTGAGGGGTTCGACCGATTCAGCGCCTTCTTGAATTGCCTCGGCCGGAACCGGGGTTGGACAGCAAAGTGACGGCGGCTCCGTCCCCTCCCAGTGTGGGCACTGGTGGTCCCAGGCTCATCCCAGTTAAGCCCCATCCACCCCGCAGTGTGGTCCATGGGATGCTCCCAGTGTGGTCCCACCAGTATGAGCCTCCAGTGAGGTCCCAGTGCAGCCCCAGTGTATCCCAGTATGGCCCCCAGTTTATCCCAGTGTGCAGCCCCAGTCTCATCCCTGTACGCCCCTCCCGGTCTGATCCCAGTATGGTCCCAGTGTCATCCCAGTATGCTCCCCAGTCTGATCCTGGTCTGATCCCAGTCTCATGCCAGTATATGCCCCCAGTCTGATTCCAGTAATGGTACCAGTCTCATCCCAGTATGTCCCCCAGTCTCATCCCCATATGGTCCCAGTGGCATCCCAGTATGTCTCCCAGTCTTATCCCAGTATGGTCTCAGTCTCATTCCAGTAAGCCCCCCCCCAGTCTGATTCCAATATGGTCCAAATTTCATCTCAGTAAGCCCCCCAGTATGGTCCCACTGTCATCCCATTGTGCCTCCCAGCAGCACACCCTCCCCCCCCCCCCCCCCCCCCCCGTCTCATCCCAGTATGGTCTCAGTCTCATCCCAGTATGCCCCCAGTATAGTCCCAGTCTGATCCCAGTATGCCCCCCAGTCTTATCCCAGTATGGTCCCAGTGTCATCCCAGTATGCCCCCTGAGTCTGATTCCAATATGGTCCCAGTGTTATCCCAGTAAGCCCCACTGTCCGATCCCAGTATGGTCCCAGTTTCATTGCAGTAAGCCCCCCAGTCCAGCCCAGTCCATCCCCCAGCAGCTCCCGGGGGGGGGGGGGGGCGGCGCTGCTGGGACCGGTTTAGTGCAGCTTTTCCGCAGCCCATCGCAGCGCTGGCCTTTCCAACGCAGCGGCGCCGGCCCGGCTCCATTTCACCCCCATAAATAACCTCCGCCGGGAATATTTTAAATAAACACGGTGTGGGACACGGGGCCTTAATTCAAGGCCGAGCTGGAAAAGGCCACGGGGAAAAGTTATTGTCGCAGGGGGGGAGCGCTGGGACGCCCGCGGGGGCTCAGCCCCCCTGGACGGAGGCAGAATCCTTATAAAAATCCCAATTATATCGATAAAGCGAGCGGGCGCTGCAAATCCAGCAGTGATTCCCGTGGAAAATGATGGGCAGAGCTGCCTGTCA